AAAATTACCTCAAGTCTGATTAAGCCTCTAGGCTTAAGTTCAAGGAAATATGAGGTAAAATCAATGCATTATATGATCTCATTAGGAAACAGATAAAACTAAATATGATACATTCTACAAAAGAAATGGCCTTCTGAAACAAAACAGCAAAACAGCTAATGAAAACATTTCGGGGACACCTGGGGAAATCTGCATGTGGCCTACATAGTCATGCTACTTAGCAAATATTATTAATTTTTTTAGGTGTGATTATGGTATTGTGTTTATATAGGAGAATGTCCATATTTTTAAGATGCATAATAAAATTTTTTAGGGGTGAAAGTCATGATATCTGTAATTTATTTGCAAATGGTTCAGCAAAAACTACATAGTCACCTATACACACATACTGGTATATGGCAAAATGTTAAAAATTACTATATCTAGATGGTTGGTATGCAGAATGTCATTGTATTATTTTTAGTCTCTTCTGTAGACATATTTTCATAATAAAATACTGGAAAAATCGGAGGAGAAAACATATATCCATTAAGGATGCTGAGAAAATGGAATGTCCTTATAAAAATTAATTTCCTAATTCACTTTTTGGAAGAAAATAAGAAAAAAGTATACAGTATCTTTAGAAGAAAAGTTATCGCTATTTTCTTGGATTAAGGAAGTATTTCTTAAATAAGGCACAGGGAATAATTCATGGGAGAAATACTGGTAAACTTGATTTCACTAAATTAAAGATATATATGTGAATAAAAGGTGCCAAATCAAAGTAGAAAGAAAAGTCAAGGAGATTAGATGGTATAACCCAGAAAAAATAACATCTCAGAAATATAAGGAGCTCATGTCTATCAATAAAAAAGATGGGTAGAAAAATGTGCATATGATATTAATAGAAAAATTTACCCTCAGAGAAGAAGCTCAAACATCCCAAAAACATATCCAAAGTTGTGTAAACTTGAAAGTCGTCAACTAAAATGTGACATTACTTCACATACATGGATTAGCAAAACACAAAGACAAAACAAAGACAGTAATGCTTTTAGGGAATGGAAATTCTCATATAATGCTGATGTCCCAGCTACTATAAAGACAATTTTAACCTTAGCCAATAACACTGAAGAGCTGCATATTAAATCATTTAGAAATTCCATTTCTAGAAGATGTCATTCACCTGCACAAAGACGTTCACTGCAGTACTGTTTATAATTGCCAATACAGAAATAACCCAAATGTTAAGATAAAAATGGGTAGATACATTCATAAGGTGAGATACTATGCAGTCAAAACAAATGACCTAGTACTCATATCAGTATGGAAAATCTATGAAATGTAATGTTGAACAATAAAGTCGAGTTGACCAAGGTTACACACTACCAAGGATACACACAGCATTCCTGCAGATTTAAAAATAAAATAACCAAACAAATTAACCAACCTAGGTTTTGTGATAAGTATATGGTAGGATCCTTCCAAGGTAACTGCTAATGACCAGCCCCTGATTCCTGGCATTTACCTGCGTCGTCCCTTCCCACATCATATCGGGGTCATTCTGTGCGACCGGCAGAGTGGGGTAGAAGTAAGAACGGGCCGCTTCCAAGATTAGGTGATGAAAACTGGGGCATCTGTCCTGGGTGCTCTGACGTGTTCTCTTGGATCACTCGCTCAGCACTGACCAGAGGACATCAGGTAGTCCTGGGGTGAGGTCCAAATGGTAAGGGAAGCGGGGCTCCTGCCACCATGAGAGTGAGCTTGGAACCAGTTCCTACAAAGGACTTCAGATAGCTGCAGCCTCATGAGCAATGCTGGGCCAGAGACACCAGGGTAAGACCCACCTCGATTCCTGGCCCTCAGAAACTACACGAGATGGCCAGGCATGGTGGCTCACACCTGTAATCCTAGCACTTTGGGATGCCAAGGTGGGAGGATCAGTTGAGCCCAGGGGTTCAAGACCAGCCTGGGCAACATGGTGAAAACCCATCTCTGCAGAAAATATCACAAATGTTCTGGGCATGGTGGCACATGTTTGTAGTCCCAGGTACTTGGCAGGCTGAGGTGGGAGGATCGCTTGAGCTCAGGAGGTGAAGGCTGCACTGAGCCAAGATCATGCCACTGCACTCCAGCCTGGGTAACAGGGCGAGACCCTGTCTCTTAACAAAACAAAATAAAACAAAAGCCAGGCTGGGTGTGATGGCATATCCTTGTAATCCTAGCACTTTGAGAGGCCACAGGGGGTTGAGCACTTGAGCCAGGGAGTTGGAGACCAGCCTAGGCAACACGGCAAAACTCCCTCTATGCAAAATATCAAACAATTATCTGGGGCAGTCTTGCACACCTGTAGTCCCAGCTACTCAGGAGGTTGAGGTTGGAGGATCATCTAAACCAGGATCGTCTGAAGTGAGCCCTGACCAAGCCACTGTACTCTACTCTAGCCTGAGTGACAGAGCAAGACCCTGTCTCAATCAATCAATCAATCAATCAACCGAAAGAAAGGAAGAAGGAAGAAAAAGAAACAAACAAACTGCAGAAGGTGATAGAGAGTTGTGACATTTGGGGGCAAGTTGTTACATAACAACAGATAATTACTAGAAGGTGCTCACACCCATCTAGTAAAATTATAAATGTATAGCAATTTAGATAGGAATATACATTAATTTCAGGATAATGAGTAATGCTGGGGAAGGCGGTGGGTGGGGTGGGACTTTAGTTACACTTGTTTTCTCATTCAATGACAATTTTTTAAAGAAAATATGACAAAATGTTAAATCTAGATATTTCGTCAATGCGCACACAGTACATGATTTTCTGTAACTTAAAGTTATTTTTTTGTTAAACATTTTATAATGAAAAAATAAACACACACACACACACACACACACGTATATATATTTTAAAGGCAGCATAGCTATTCCATTTATTAGGGTTCTATCAAGCACTCTCTGGGTCTTTAATTGCAGCCCTGAGGAAAGTAATTACTTTAATGGCTAAACAATCCACAAGGAAGAGGAGACATAGATCAGCATATTTTCCCCCAGCTGGTAAATCAAACGTTTAAGTACCAAAACCTTAAATAAATTTTTTAAAAAGTAACAACAAAAAAATGTATAGAAGAGCACCTAGCAAATAATTCACAGTGAAATTCGGAGACAAAAAGTTGCCCTGTCTAGGGATGCCTAATATTACACCATTTCCAACAGTAATTCACTTAAAAACAAATGGTTATTAGACTCTGCCGTATTCAGTGGACTCTAACAGCTGTTGCCATAATGGCCTCTACTTAACAAGAGAACGTTCTCTATTTAACAAGAGAACGGAAACTGTGGGTAAAATTGCTTAAGTTCTTAGATTCCCCTGGTTAAAAAGAAGTCAAATAGTCACAGGAAATTCAGTGATATTTCAGTCCCACTTCCTGCTACAAAGAAAGTTCTCACACAACGATAACTGAATAGGCTGAAAGAGTTATTGCACACGCAAAAGGTAAACATTTACTCATGGCAAAGACGGAAACATGACAATGCAAGGGTTCCATGTCTGCTCACAAGAGCAAAGCGAAAATACTTCCGCACAGATATTCACGCAGACACGTCACGATGTATCATATATGTGCACTGGGTTGAATGATTTTATTCATATGGGATATGAATTGGCCTAACAGTCCAGATGCAATCTTTCCTTTTAACGTTTCTGCTCTCTAAATTGTTACTTTACTTTTCTGACATGCCACTCTGCTAAGGCAGCTAATGAAGCACCCCTCATCTGCTTTACTTACCAGGAGTCCGGTTTTAAGACCATGTTTTAGGTATTAAAAAATAGTAGCTGAAATCTCTCCCTCCTGGAATAATCCAGCTGTGATTACCTGGCATTCTGGCCAGACACCTCATCCTGGCAACTCTTCATCTGGGTTCAGATCAGAGTGAAGGTCTGAGTTGAGGCTCCTAGGATGGCGGGCCCAGGACTCTCACCTGCCCTTCAACAGTGTCTCACATCCATCAAATTCCTACACATCCCCTTTCCTTCAGCCACATCATGACCTTATATTTCATTATCAATCCCCAAATTTCCTTCTATTTCACCTCCTTGTCATCAATTCTTTTTTGACCTCACACTTAATTTTTCTCTCCTTTCACATATCACCAGCACGACTTTGGAATTTCATTCTGTTCCTGACTTCAAATCTAATGCACCAATTTTGTTTTCAGTCCCTTGACATCTTATTTTGAAAGACTACAGCTCTCCTGGCCATTTCTCTGATTCAGGCTCTTCTTCCACTTGTCTCCGGCAATTCAATCTCATGCCCACTTCTGTGATTTGCCTCTGCCTTGCAGGCTGGACTCTCAGTCAGAAATACCTAATCCTCCTATTAAACCATGTGCTGTGTAAGCACTCCATTTCAAGCAAACTGTGAAATCTGAAGACATTTCCAAGCTTATGGGGTTTAACCATCCTCTTGACTTTCTTGTGCTCTCCTGGATTCTCTGAAGACCTGCCAACCCTTCAGCTAGACTGCAGAGTCATGCTGCTGGCCGCCCTCACGTCTTTCAAAGGAACCCCATGAGAAACAGGCGCTCCTTGGTCTTATTATGTTAGGATTTCAAGAAATGGCAATAATAGGCGTTCCCTATTTCAAAATGAGGACAGCTTTAAGGAAAAATAAATGTACACAGCTTAAATGTGAAACTTCTTCCTTACTCATATTGCTTTAACTGTCAAAAAACTGTAATGCAACTCCAAGGCTCCACAGCATATTTTTACTCCTTGACTATCAGGACTAACACTCAGAAAGCATTTTACAAGTGCCAACCCCTGGACTAGAAGTTTTACATGGATGATGTCATTTAATTATCTCAGCCACCCCATGACCCATTTTACTGAGATTTTGATCCCTGGTGATAGGAAGGAGGGAAACAATTCAATGGTAATTGATGTGCCATCAAGAATGGCTTCCAAGTCAGCACATTTACATAAGGGACTCTTGTCGGGGATCCCCATTCGGTGTTAGAATTGCTCACCTGCACAGGGGCTCGCTGCAAAGCCCACCCTCTTCCGGGCTCTGTCGAAGACGACGTAGAAGCCCTCCATCACTGTGGCTCCGATCACCAGTGCGTTTGTGGAAGGGGAGATGCCGAATCGGTAACATTCATAATTCAGGCCAGCCCCCATCATGGGCTGAATGTAAAGCTGTTTGTCAGAGAGGAGAGAGCAAACAAACAAGAGAAAGTACAAATCAGGCAACATCACAAAACTGCTGAGGTCACATGCATGCTCGGGACCCTCCCAGGTGCTGGGGGAGTTGCAGGGAAAGAAAGATGATCTCATCCCTGCCCTCCAGAAGGAGAGAAGATCAAAAGTATGGTGATCAGTATTATTGATCAGGACAGAGCAGATGATCCGTATCCACCACCTGGAGTTACATCCACCCAGATGTCCATCCAGCTGTCTGCAGACAAGAGTCAAACTCTATAATTTTGAAGGGATTTATTCTGAGCCAAATATGAATGATCATGGCGCATGAAACAGCCCTCAGGAGGTCCTGAGAACATGTGCCTGAGGTGGTTAGGGCATAGCCTGGTTTTACGCAATTTTGGGAAACATGAGACATCAATCAAATACTTTTAAGATATACATTGGTTTGGTTCAGAAAGGCAGGACAAGTCAAAGTGGGGCTTCCAGGCTAGAGGTAAATTTTAAAATGTTCTGGTTTATAATTGGTTACGTTTATCTAACCTGGGATTAATAGAAAGAAAATGTTTGGATTAAGAGAAAGGATTGTGAATATCAAAGTTTTATTGTGCAGAGGAAGCTTTTAGCTAGCAGGCATGAAGAGAAGAGGTTGTGAAATGTTTCTTAAGGGGCATAAAAGGGTCCCTGACTCTTAGTTAATTATCAAGAATAAAAAATAGGGGAAAAGGGGTTTTTTACAGAAAGTAGATTTTTTTTTCTCACAAGAGACAACTCTGCAGGGCAATTTCAAGATATGAAAAGGAAGTATATTTGGGGTTAAAATATTTTAATTTCTTTCCGTATTTGTTATGTGATATTATGCCAGGGCCAGGCTGGAAAGCAGGGCATGCAACACAGGGTTAAATAAAACCCCTCTGGTGAGATTTTACAGTTTGTAGGGCAGACTCCCCAGGCCCCTTAGGTAGGAATTTAGTCAAGAGAATTAAAAAAAAAGAGTTTAGTCCTCACCTCCGTCTGGCCATCTGCCCAGCAGTTACCCGCTGAGGACTTCACAGGGCTCCAAAGCTGCCCTCTGTACCAGGACTACAATGATGAATGCCACACAGTCCCTGTTCCCTCAAGGCTCCCAATCTAGGGGGAACCAGGCAGAGACCACAGGGTGGGAAGTGCCCACACAGACCCCTCGTATGGGTACTGGTGCCCACTTATCACTCCCTCTGCATGGAAGCTTTCTTCACTTGGGCTCTAAGAGGGCCATGCTCTTCTTTCTAACTCCCAGGCCACTCCTTCTCAGGCACCTGTATTGGATTTCCTTCACCATCCTTGCCTGTAAGCATCAGAGCACTCTTAGACTCTGGCCTCCTCTCAATCTTCCCTCCTTGGGTGACCCATCTGGCCCCACCCCATGGCCCTAGATCACCCCGTGGTCTCACCTGAGACTCCCACCTCCTCCTGTCCAGCCCAGACCTGGGCCACCATTGCCACACAATGTCCACCAGCCTGTCCACCTCTGTCAGCCTCTCCCGTATAACCGGTAACAGCCTGAATGCTGGCTATTCCCCCCTAAATCAGCCTTCTCCCACTGTTCTCTGTCTCAGTAGATTCACAGTTCACCCAGTTACTGAGGCCCTGAAGCTCCGAGCCAGTCCTTTTCTCTCTTACCCTGCATGGAGATGGTAACCAGACCCCTGCGAGCCTTCCCGTGAAACTGAAGCAGAATTGAATCCCTCCCTCGCCCCACCCAGGCCAAGTCCTCACTGTTCTCGTCCCTCGGGATCCACTGCAATGGCTCCTAGTTGTCCTAGAGCCCATCATGCACCTCCCTCTCGGGCAGAGAGAATTTTAAAAGTAGGCAGTCTGAGGGAGGCAGGACAATTTCCTCAGTGAAAAGAGGAAGACAGCATCAGTGGATCATAAGTTCTCCCCTGGGAGAGGGTCGGTTCCCACAGGTGCTGCGCAGTGTTAACCAAACTCAAGTCGGCCCTTGAGATCCCTGGAGCCAACAGTATGCAGGGAAATGGGTCAAACCTTAACACAATCAGTGAGCAAATCACGATCCTATCAGCAGTAACAATTTCTTGGCTTTTGAATAGCAAACAATTGAAATGCTGGCAATTAGAGAATACTGCGGCTGAGTATGACAAAATACCTGTTTGGAGAAAAGCGACACTGCAAAATGGTAAGAAAACGAACCTTCCTGTGAGTAATGGTCCGCCTCAAAGAGCAGAGGCAGGAAGAACGACTCGGAGGAAGAAGGTGGACACACTAATACACAGAGCCCTGGGCCTTCTGGCTGTAGAGGGTCTGAGGGATGGCAAGGGGGTAATTTCCGAGGGAGCAGAAAAGACTGAGAGGACACCAGCAGGGAGGGGCTGCCACGTGACCACTCGGAAGAGCAGGCCAAGGAGGGACAATGCAGAAGCTGGGAAGAAACCTTGGAGCTCCCCTCCAAGTGGGCAGGCAGCTGCCGCTTTTCAATAGGTCACGTAGGATTCAGCCCACGGGCTTTTGGAAAACAGTGCTGGGTGTAGGCAAAGTTTAAAGTAATTGCTTTTGACTTGACTCTTTTCTGCAGGAGTGATTGTTTGCCCACCTATTAGCGTTCATGTCTGAGAGGTCCCAGGTGGGGGCAAGGACTCCTGGCGGTTTCCCTCGGTGCTAGAAAGGCCGCTGGGCAGGGCCTTTCTGCTGGGAACGTGGAGCGTGTGGGGTCTCACCAGGTGACCTTTCCCAGCTTCCTACCGGAGTCCCCTCCCAGCAAGGGAATGGAAAGCAAGTGGAAGGTGACACTGGGTAAGAAATCAGGAAAACAACAGGCAAATTGGATTTTTAAAAATCAAAAATGTGAACATGTCAGAGTCAACCAAAAAATATCTAGCATTGTAAGTGAAAGCAATAATGAATTCGTATGCAGAGATGTGCAAACGACATGAAATGCTCCCAAACCTCTCTCATTCTGCTTCTGAGCTTGCCCAGTGCTGCGTCCTAAAAGCTACTGAGGAGCCCAAGTCTTCATGGCTCTGACCTGCCTGGACTAAGAGGTTCCCCCAAATGCCTGCCTTCTCCTCCTGCTTCTTATGAGTCCTTCGTGCCTGACATTTATTCAGCAGTGCACCCCTGCACCCTCAAGCTGGGTTCTGACATTATTACACACCACGCTGATGAAATAATGTCCGCATTCTACTGTTCTACTGGCCAAAATGTAATCATCAAGAGCACACGATTTTAAAGATACTGAAAACACAGTATTGTAACATCACTCAGGGCAGTGCCATTCATCCAGGGATACTGCATTCTTCTGAAAATGTCTTTGATAGGTATTATTGTTTCTTCTTTGTAGTTAAAGAGACACAGACAGCGCTAAATACTTTGCTCAAAGTCACAACGTGAGGGAAGGGCAGTGCTGAGCGTGTAACACAAGCCTCTCGTGAGAGCGGGTGTCTCCAGTTGGCCTGAATTTCTCCTGAAGCTTTCAATCCTTTCCCCCAGGTCTCTCCTTTTCTGGGACACACATCCCCACAACGTAAGGCTGAAAATGAGGAAGAGGCAGCAGTAGCATTTTCTAGTTCTCTTCTGATATTACTCCTCCTTCCTTGTCCAATCCCCTTTATCCCAAATTCATCAAATTACAACAAAGACCCACGATGGGTCCATTCCACAAACAGTTACGATGTGCTTTCCCTCCACTGCCTGGTGGCGTTGGGGAGGGAAGGATGATCTTTTACACTCACAGCTCTCATCTTCGAGGAATTTATAATTAATAGAAAATGAAATAGAAGAAAATAGAAGTCAAATGAAAAAGGCAACAGCATACAACGTACCCTAAAGATATGATTCCGTGCCAGATGAGCAGAACAGAAAATATGCGTGCTGAGTGGGAGGTGCAACCTCACAAATGGGTTATTCTGCTCATCATAGTTTCAACAAAAGCTGGGTTGTTTGAGTTGAGTCTTAAAGGATGGGAAGAATCTGGATGTACAGGCGGAGTAAGGGGGGTGGTATTTCAGGCAGAGGGGTTGGCGGAACAAGGGGTGGGGGGCAGTTGCAGGCGAGAGGCCCTGAGGGTCAGTGGCCACGCAGCAGAGGGTCGGGGTGCAGTGGAATGCTGAGGAACTGGAAGGGGGGGGTCTGGTGGGAGTCCATGGACAGCTATGCCAGAAGCGCTGGGCATTTACATCGTGGGGATGGACTGCTTGCTCACAGCAGGGGAGGCTCAGGTGAAGGCGGTGGTCTAGGAAGAGCAATCTGACAACAGTTTCAAAAAGAAGAGAGTGTGGGGGCTTGGGGGCATGGCAGCGCTCTGCAGGTGACAGAAGTGCTGGTGAGAGCCACAGGGCGAGGGCTCAGGAACGGAGGGGAGAAGGAAGTGGTGAGAAATGGGACTGAGGAAGACAGACATGGTCCATTTCATTAGACATACAGGATAAAGAGGGAGTCAGTGGGTACTGGGAGTATGGGGAGGAAAAAAACAACGATCTCTTCAAATTGGACAATCCAGTATTTTTTGTTTGTTTTTTTTGAGACGGAGTCTCACTCTGTCGCCCAGGCTGGAGTGCAGTGGTGCGATCTCAGCTCACCGCCACCTCCACCTACCAGGTTCAAGCCATTCTCCTGCCTCAGCCTCCCAAATAGGTGGGATTATAGGCATGCGCCATCACATCCAGCTCATTTTTGTATTTTTAGTAGAGATGGGGTTTCAACATGTTGGCCAGGCTGGTCTCAAACTTCTGACCTCGGGTGATCTACCCGCCCTGGCCTCCCAAAGTGCTGGGATTACAGGTATGAGCCACCGCGCCCGGCCCAGTTTTCTCCTTTATACCTAGTATGATGGTGATATGGTAGCTGTGACAGAAGTGTCTCTAGGTCTCTTCCCTTTCCCTTGTAGCCACACCCTTGCCAACGTGGCTCTGTGGCTCCTCCCAGCGTGAGGGGCGTCTATTCCCCCATCCCTGGAATCTGGGCTGGCCTTGGGCTTGTGTGGGCAGCAGCACCCCGGAAGAGGCAGGGGCCAGTTCTAGGCTGACACTGGGGGAGCCCCTGCATGTCAGGTCCTTTCTCTCTCTCAGGTCCCTGTTACCATGTGTGACTCAGCCGCCGGATGGAGAGAGATGCATGGCTCCATTCCTCCACTACCTTGCCACCAGATATGTAAGTGAGGCCGTCCTACACCAGCCTGGGTGGAGGCCAACCAGGGTCTGGCCAACCACCAGCTGAGCAGACCCGTGAGTGAGCCCGGCTGAGGGCCGCTGCCCTGCCTGGACTCAGGGGCGGTAATAAGTGCGGCTCCCTTTTGCAGCATCATGGTGGTGACGATAGCTAATGCAGGTGTGACATCTCATACACGTGTCATGCATGGAGCGCTTTCACTTTTGCTCGCTAAAAAGAGCAAAGCACAAATCCAAGTTCATACCTGAGGCAGGATCGTGATACGGAATGACCTGCTGGAGTTCTCGTCTCTCAGGTAGATGGAGATTTTAGGGAAGTAAGACCAAGGTGTTTCCGAATTCGTCCAGCAAGCCAGCTGGGACCCAGTCCAGAAACCATCAGAGAATTCTGGAATCTAGACAAAACAAGATCACATGAGAAACCACGACTAGTCTGGCACGTCAACAGGAAATAGCTCCGGGCTCTCCTAGCCACCTCGCCAGATGCCCACAGGGATAAACAATGTTTAATTTGGACAGAACAGCAGGGACATTAGTCCCCTGGAAGAGTGACAGTGATGACAAAATAATAATGATTGAAATGGTCAAGACACAGGAGTACCTACTAGTATTAGGCACCCTTAGAAGCCCTTTGCAGCAATAATTACTTCAATTCTCAGCCAGTGTAATGCATTATCCTCGCTGCTTTACAGATGAGGCAAGCAAAGCACAGAGAGGTGAAGTAACTTGCCTAAGGTCACACAGCAGAGCACAGAGGCCTTTTAGAAGGGAGAAGTCCTAATTTTGGCCTTCAAGGCCCTTCTGCTTATCACCTGTCCTCTGAATTCCATGAGCCCAACAAGTTGCCTCCCGGTGCAGAGCCTGGGCTCTCTGCTGTTTTGGGACATTTTTCTCCTCCTCCAGATCTCAGCTCAGATGCCACCTCCTCCAGGAAGCCCTCACTGGCTTCCCCTTGTAACACTAGAACACCACCGTGCCCCTCTCTTTCCTGGCCTTTCTCCTTGTGGCAGTTCACAATTCACACTGATTGGTGTGATACAGTTGTCTCTCCTGCACTAGAGTTCATGTCTTCTCAGGACAGAGGTCTGTGGCCTGGCCTCCTTGCCAGGGCATGCAGCTGGGGAGAAAGCACCCTGTGGTTGGTTCATCCATCCAGTGTTCTCCATGCAGACCATCTGTGATTGATTTGTGAAGTTTCTAATGCTGGCATTGATAGACCTTGGCTTTGTAAAAACATCGAAGTTGACTGGAGATGTCCGTCACAGGGAAAGCCCCTTCTCAGACAAGCTCATAGGAGGCACGACGGTCATTTTGCCGGATTTGGTGAAGAGCTTTAGTGGCCAGGCCGGCAGTGGGGCACAGAGCTCAGACGACAGCGCCATGTCCAGCTCCAATGGCAGGTGACAATGAGACCCTGAGGAGCCGAGTAACTGGCCTGGGTAGCTTGCCTCAGATTTGGATGTGGGACTTATTGTCCCCAGAGCCATGGTCTGGCAGCCTCCCAGGAGGTGAAGCTATGTGTCCTTGGCCAGTTTCGACCCTCAGATCACTGAGTTTTAAAGTTAGAAATCATCTTAAAGTGGGTGTCATTTTGCATCTGGATTTCCTCCTGGAGAAGCGCTAGGACTGATCCACATGGGTGCCGTGGCAGGGTCGAATGAGCCCAGGTCCCCGTGCCTCTGCGTGAGCCGCACCTCGAACAATACTCCCCTCCAGGTTCACTTGTAAACACAGAACTCCAAGCCCTTACTGTCTAGAATCCCATCTGAACAACAGCCCAGCGTTTGTATTGTCTTTAGCTCTTGGAAGCCAGCCCTCTCCTTAACCAGAGGAAACCCTAGCCAACGAGGTCGGCTTACCGGGACCTGGTAGATAAGAAAAGCAAACACAACCTTGGTCCAGAGACAGTAAGACAGAGACACAATGCGCCCTTGTAATGCTTTCCCTGCCCGAGACAAGCAGGCTCCCCGGCTTTCTCCTCCTGACGCAGGCACTGGACGAAATCAGAGGATCATTTTAGACAAGGCAAACAAATGTTGTGATCTCATTCTTTCTACCTTGTGGTTTCCTTGCAAAGTCAGGCAGGGCTCAGCACAGGCCACGATGAACACGGGAATGCCAGCCCCGCGCAACCCTGCCGTCCTGCGTCTCACAGCACAGGGGCCCAGCCAGTCCACAGCTTGCTGGATTTTCTCTTTTTTTTTTTTTGCAAAGATGGGGTTTCACCATGATGGCCAGGCTGGTTTTGAACTCCTGACCTCAGGTGATCCACCTACCTCGGCCTCCCAAAGTGCTAGGATTACAGGCGTGAGCTTGCTGGATTTTCACACTGTGCTTCAAACATGTCTTTGGGATGCTGGTCAGACTTTTCCATTCAGGATATTAAGTTGGAAGATACATTAATCCTGCTGAGGGCATTTTTACTATTTAACAAATGAGGATATCACTCCCTATTTTAAGTATGGTCTGATTTTCAGCACGCGTTCTAAATTTAAGGCACTAAAAATGTTACCTGCCACTTTCTCTGATTCAGTAGATAGTGGGAAAGATGGAGGCTCGCTGCGGCGTCAATGGCAGCTGCGCCAGGCGGCTGGCTGCCTTGAGTCCCGCTGCTTCAAAAAGGGCCCACAACCTTTCCTGCTTATTTCCCTCTGTGTCTGTTTCATCCACGTGCCGCTCTTCCCGCAGCAGTTACAGGCGCTTGAAGTTTGGGTTCAGGACAACCCAAAGCCGTCTCCTGCCTGTCACGTTTCTGCTATGAGCGGTATCCACTGCATGAGCTCCTATCGGCCATCACAGCACAGGAGTAGGACAATCAGCCCCACGCCGGGGCCACAGCACAGGCTGCGTGCAGGAAACCCCCTCTGACAATCTCACAAGGATGAGTGGGCAGATGCTATGAGAACATGCAGGAAGCCAAAAGTAACGTTCATCTCGCATCTATACAAATAGCAGCAGTGCTGTGGCTGGACGTTAAATGGAAGCTCCGAGTGTCTACTAAACACCAAGCGTTTGACCCCGACCTCACAACCACCCCTCAGTTGAGAGTACGGAGGCTCCCCGGGGGCACAAAACCCCTCCTCAGGCATCTGGCTAAAAGTGACAAAAACTAGAATAAATTTAATTCTATTTCATCCCCAAAGCTGTGCCGTAGCCAATGTTTATTGCCCTGAACTGACTGGAAAGTCACGGGTCATGCCAGGAATATCATCAGCCAGGTCACATAAAGACATGTTGGCTACAATCATAATTTCAACTGTATTTCAGGGCACGGCCATAAAGTAATTATTGGACTGGCTGACAGACCTTTATCTTCTGTGAAAAAATGATACTCTTTTACAGAAACAGAAGTTAAGATACCAGTGCAGGGATGAAGGCCAAAAAGGAGTAAAATTTTTGGTTCATGTGTTTTGTTTTAAAGTCTATAAATATATTCTTGATTTATTGTTTATTCTAATATAGTTATATTACCAAGTGTTATTTTTCACAGATTAAAAAAAATACTACACCAACTGAACTATTATGTGAAATACTAGAGGGCACTGTACATTCAGATCCAAGTCCTCTGAGGTTCGTGAAGGTACCATTTGCTAACATCAAAGAGGATTGTGAAATTAACAAGTAACAGCTGAAACAAAATCCTTCAGAATACAGATTTGAAATACATATAAAATATATCTACATATTGCACCTATATTCCATATAAAATGTACAAATACAACATATGAAAATTTGAAATGCATGGCGCAATAGTTCAGAGATGCTCAGAACACACAGTGCTGCTCCTCAGCAGGTGATCGTAACCCCGAGACTCGGGGACCCGCGAGTGTCCCGAGGACTCACCAGAGATGCGCGGGCCACAGCCTCCACCACTGCATTGAACACCTTCTGGGGCAGGCGCAGCAGCGTGGTGCCACTGTCCACGATGGCTTTGTCGGCATTATACTAGCACGAGAGAGAAAGGGGAAGGCGTGTGAGTGACAGTGGCACTCCCCACCCTATGTGGCTCCAGTGGCCATCACCATCTATCTGTTACACACAAATCCAATCAGCCATGCACTCATCAAGGACTGTAGTTTATTCATGTTCTCAGAACTAGGGAATGAGGGGTCTTCCAGCCCAACACACTCACTTCAGAGACAAGGAAATGGGCCCAGGAAAGGGAGGGGACATGACCCAAGTTAGCAAATCAATAGCTCTCCCAAGGCACAGCTCCTTCCTTACTTAGAGCTGCCCAAGTTCCTTCGTTGAGGACCCCCATTCCTGCCCCAGGGCAGAGGGAAGACCTATTTGTTTTTTGAGGCTGAAATATACTAAAAGCCACCTGCACAAACTGTACACAGATCAACTCTCTATGACCTCACTAATGAAGAGAAGAAGGAGGGACAATTTTTCAAGAGACATCCCATATTTGAATTGGGAACAGAACCAGAGCCACGCTGATTCACAGACTGAGACACACACAGGCGCTGCCAGCCCCGTCCCCACCTGCAACGTTCTTTATGTGGCAGACGGAAAAGGATGAGGCCAGTGGCCAACACCAGACAAGCCACCCCAACCACTGTGGGCACAGCTGCATGGGCAAGGCTGCCCATGGATGGAACGAGTCCTGGGCAACTAGATCCGCCTGCCTTAAGGCAAATCCATGAGTCTCATGAGGAAGTCTCATCCGAGGAAGTCAAAAGGGAGGAGGAGTCAAGAATCTTTTTAAAATGAAATATACCAATTTATTAGTATTTTTCACAAACACTATTTTCAGTGTAAAAACAAAATTTAAAATATAACTTAGCTTATTCATAAAATTTTTTTAATATGTGAGAAAAGTAGACATATAAAAGGCCTGTAGCAAATTGAAATGTGCGCTAAGATGTCCTGGATTTTGTTGTTTGTTCTTTTGTGGGGTGGGTGCATATGGGGCGGCCAGGAAAGAACCTAGAATCTAAGAATCACACCTCCAAATATAGGCTTTTCCTCACTAATACACACACACACACACACACACACACACACACACACAAGTTTTGTATTTTGTTTTACATTTGGACATTTGATTCTACCACTGGGTTCTTAATTGACCAATAAGTGCCTCTTGACAATAAACACAGGTTTGCAATGGAAGGGGCTGTCATTTTTATCATTCCTTAGTTTCTCAGAGGTACCTGCATACATGAGAATTGACGGTGGGATATGATGGGTAATAGGAACGGAAGTGCTAACAGGTTAGAATATGATGGGATCCCCGTGGTTTTTATAAAGCATTCTAAAAGGGCTGTAGAAGACTGAGGCTCCCACAAGTCATCATAATCATAATGTTGTCACGTGTCATGAACAAGCCAAATCACAGTGAGAGGGCGTGAACATGGGTCTTAAGAGGCTCGGTGTCAGAGCTCTGCATGTGGCCACTTTAGCATCACCGAGCCACACACATCTTTACAGCATGACTGCTCTTCAGGGAGAATTGTGTACTCTGGGGGCAGGCTAGCTGTGAATGGAGGAGAAAAAGCTGATGATCTTTTTTGATTTCATATGTCCTACACTGATTAAAAATCTGCTTATTTCAACCTCTTAAACTGAGCTCAGGGACCATCAGTTCAAGATGAATGACTGGTGAAAGGTGTAGCTCAGAGAGTCCTCTTCACTCACCATTTAACGCTAATTTTGCCCTATAAAGATGAGTGGTTAGGAGGATGCAATATTTGGGAGGGAAAACAATTCATTGATTAAAACTCACTGTACAGCAAGGACCTGAATCTTTTGATGTAATGTACCTTCTCCCGTCATATACAGGTTGCAGCTGTCTATTAAATGATCCAGGCATACACAGAAAGACACAACAGAGACTATAGCATGAATACCTCTCTGCAGTCCAGATTAAGGCTTTGGCCTCCAATTTCCAATTTCAGAATTTCTATCTGGTAGTACCACTCCTCCTTAATAGGGGTATACCAGATGTCTCCTTTATACAAACTTGGCTCAATTCCACCCAGGACCTGGGACAGAAAATATTTACAGGTATAAGAGAAAAAATACACAGACGTGTCAACGGGTTATACAGAGAAGCACACACTTGTAAAGCGAAACTTCACTGCATCAGAGCTTCTACTTTGTGGTGATGTCATGAAACAAATATAAATGCTTAAAAAATAAACAAGGAGCCAGGTGTGGTGACTCACACCGGTAATCCTAAACTTTGGGAGGCTGAAATGGGCGGATCATGAAGTCAGGAGTTCGCAAACACCCTGGCTAGCATAGCGATACCCCATCTCTACTAAAAATACAAAAGTTAGCCAGGCATGGTGGTGCGTGCCTGTAGTCCCAGCTATGCAGGAGGCTGAGGCAGGAGAATCACTTGAACCCAGGAGGCAGAGGTTGCAGTGAGTCGAGGTCACACCACTGTACTCCAGCCTAGGTGACAGAGCAAGACTCTATCCCAAAAAATAAAATAAAATAAAATAAACAAGGAATGTTATGGGTTCATGTCTGCAAAGGTCAGATGATATTATGCCCTAGTCTAAACAAGATGCTTTAGTGATTTCTCTTATCCAAAGAAAGTACATACATGTTCAGCTTTACAATATTGACATTTTCCTTCAAAGAAATGCAATAAAACAGTTAACCACACTGACCGACAATTATTTAATTCCTCGGAGGTCAGAGAACAGAAAAACAAGAGCTTCCTGATCAAAACTTCATTTTGCAAAATTGTAAAACATTTCCTCACAAGCCCTAGCTACCCTCTTCCCAGAAATGGCAACAAATGAAAATAGCTGAGGATCAGGGCAGAGCCCGCCTCTCACGGTCAGACAGCAAAGGGGCTGGTACCCCCTTCTAGTGCATTCTTCCTGTCCCCTACGGCTTTCGACGTCTGGGGGCAGTGCCCTGGAGGGAATCTCAGGCTCCAGCATTTCCGTAGTGCTGACGGCCTTGGTTCTGTTTTAATAGCAAACGCTTTTGCTGTGGTGCGTGTGTGTTGAGAGGGAGCGAGAAAGGGTCTACAAGGCCTTCTATTTCCGTGCCAGCTTTATGAACTCTCCTTTGTCCCCCTACCCACAGTCGGGCCCACTCACCACATCCCAACCCCCACTGATTCTCACTTGCTCTTCCCCCACCCACAGAAAGCAGTGCCCTTCCAAGGGCAGTAAAGAAAAGCTTTCATGGAATTTGGGGAACGATGAGAATCATCCTTCCAGATGGCAGGGTGACATCAAGGATTGCCTAATTTTAGCCATTTTTAAAAAGATTTACAAAAAGGATGATTAAAGTTTTACAGTACCTACGCACACCTACGTGCCCAATATTTATATTTCTGCTCAGGTGTTTAATAAAACAGAAAAAAACCAGCCCATCAATCTGTGATTTTTCGCCCCTTTAAGACTAAAAGATACCCACAAGACTACCTCCGTTGGTCCCAGATCCAGCAACGGGCAAGCCGGCTCCACACATCTGCATGGAGAAAACATTGGGGATGTTTGCTTGTGTCACCAGGGAGTCAAAGAAGGTCTCCAGAGAACTTGATGGCTGCGGGAGGGTGACAAAGGACACCTGCTTAGAACATACATCGTGGACACAGGTGACCCAGTGTAGACGCCATGCACCACAGACAACATTCCTGGTGTTTACATTTAATTTTTTCAGGATTCCACAATAAACCAGCTTGTGATCAGGTCTAGGAATTCAGAAAGCCCCAACAGAGCTTCCCACTGGTTGGTGTTTTTCCTTCGGGTACGGCTCTGTTGTACAAATAAGATCGTATTTCTGGAAAGCATTCGACGCAGTCACATCTATCATCATGACTGCCTTGTGAGGGGGCGTGAGAAGCCGTGAAAGTGGGTTACCGTGGCAGGTGGTGGATCCTAATCTTAGACACTTCAGAGTAAGGAGAGAAGAGTTTCTCTAGGAGCTGCCATGGCCGCAGACATTTGTGTTCTCCTGTTAGCTGCAGCTGTCCACCAAACGAGAGGTGACCGACTCGGGAGAACAGTATCCCCTGGACCCCAGAGCCCGGGGCGAGGCTTAGCTCTGCCTGATGAACTCTGGTGGGAAGGCATCAGGAAAGGCACAAAAATATAGTCCGGAAGCATGAAAGGCTTCTTATCCCCAGAGGCCAGATTTCAGAAGCCCTCACGTGCTCTGTGTCTCTCTCACGTCCAGCAAGACATGCTGAGAATGTCCTCATTCCTCCAGAGACACTCCAAGGGAAGAGGGAAGGTCTGCGAACAGCTGTGAGGTGGGGGTGAGGTGGGGGTGTGCTGGGGGTGCCAGTGGTCATGGAGGAAGTCAGTGACAGACTTGAGTTTAGATTTTGACAAGTGGGAGACACTGGAGTTGGTGACCCTGAGTTGTTACTTTTTGATAAAAACTGAACTATAGTAGCACAGATGCTACGGGCACCCTTGGGTACCCACGGTCATTCACAGGAATTATTTACTATCTGTGAGAACTAAGACTGTGATTGCAGAGGGAGCGAGAGGAGAACTCCACTATGTAAGGGATGCAAATCTTCCCATTGGTTTAGTCCATTTGTGTTTGACCTCTTACTTCTTTCATCTCCGCTTCTGCAGAATTCCGAGGCAGAATCCAGCACAATCTCCATATGCATTCTCTGTCAAAACCCTTGTGAGCGTGTGGGTCAACCAGTGAGACAAAAATCCCCTCCTGGGACAATGGGACGGGCCTGGGGGTGGCCTGGCTGCTGTTCTGCCCACCTTCTCAAGAGGCAGTTAAAGCAAAGCAAACACGGGCGGAAGACTGGCTCTGCCACTTGCCGGCTGAGTGACTTGTTCCTTTGCTTCCTCCCCTGTGAAATGGGGAGAACAGCAGCCTCCTGGAGCCGCTCTGGGGCTTCAATGGGCTGATGCCTCTAAAGTGCTTGCAAGGGTACCTGGCACACAATGAAGGAGCTACAATCTTTCCGTCAAGTCCTTCTTCACCAGGGTTATGCCTCAGGATCCCTCTAGGAACTTAAAAGCATCCAGGTGCCCCAAACCAACCCCGAGAGAAGCAGATTCAGCAGGAGTGGGGCCCAGGCAGCTGCAGTGTCAGAAGCCTCGTGGATATTCCTGACACAGCCTTGACAGGAAGCCCCTGGAATGGATGAGGGGCCACCACTCAATCTGACCACTGCAGAGCGCTCAGCCCCCGTGTCTCAGAGGCCCCTGTGCAGTCTGCCCAGCCCGCCTGCAGGCCCTGTTCCCAGCCACACTCTGCTTCCTCCAAGTCCTACTGCTCTCTCCTGAAACCCTGGACATGGGAAGCCAATTGTCAGTAATCTTGGAATTACACAAATGAAAAGATAAAATGTCACATGGAGAGTCAGGAGGTCTGAGCAAACCCAGAAGAAGTCTGTTCTCACAAAAGCTTTACATGATATTAATCACAGGCAATTTAGGTTTATTGTCTTTGGAACAACTCACATAAAACCAGTCATACGTCTTTCGTTTCCAAACCGTCACACACAGATAAAACATTTTGAAAATGTATTTAGGAATGCAGGTTTTCGCCCATCTGCATTTCCCTATGATACAGAGGACAAAAGGGATCCTGAGCCAGCCTTGGCTCTGCAGACTAAGAAGGACACCCACAGCTCCACATTCTGACTTCAAAGGCACAACAACTTGTTGACCCTCAATCTCCACATCTTGAAAATGGGGCAAATACGGGCAGGCATGGTGGCTCATGCTGTAATCCCCCAGTGCTTTGAGAGGCTGAGGTGAATGGATCACTTGAGCCCAGTAATTTGAGACCAGCCTGGTTAACATGGTGAAACCCCATCTCTACCAGAAATACAAGAATCAGCCAGGCATGCTGGTGTGCGCCTGTGGTCCCAGCTACTCGGAAAGCTGAGGCGTGAGAATTGCTTGAACCCGGGAGGCGGAGGTTGCAGTGAGCCAAGACTGGCCTCTGCACTCCAGCCTGGGTGACAGAGCAAGAATCTGTCTCAAAAAAATAAAAAAGTTTTTAAAAAAAGGAAAAAAAAAAAGAAAATGGGGAGAATCCCACCTTCCAAAATACACCTCACAGGGGAGTCATGAGCACTGAGTGACTGACATCTCATATCTTCTCAGCCTTGAGCCTCGTAGGCTCTCTGCAACTCGGGGGCCAAGGGCTGTAAAATTCCTCTTGCCCTCCCCACCTCACCCCATCTGCTCATAAACTGGAGCTGCAACAGACGCTCCTCCAGGATGGAAAGATTATCCTCATGGGACAGTGGGGGGCTGTTGCTCCAGCAATCACTTCTGTTTCCTTCTACATGTGGCTCTGGCTCTAAGCCTACTGCTGAGCAAGATGAGGCCAGGCGTGGTGCCCAGGTACAGGCACATGTAAACCCGTGTGGACTCCAGGAGCCCAGCACATGCCCCTGGTGTCCACTCCCACCTGCTCTGGCGATGCCTCCGGGTGGAAATTCCCCTGCCTGCCTCCCTCCTCCTGCACACCAGACTTTATTTCCTTTGGGTTGGCCCTAAGTACAAATATTTGGGGAACATCCAATTCTGTCTTTCCGCATTTGGGGAGGCTCCGGTGATGGTGAGAGCCGGGCTCCACGATTCCTCCGTGGCTCACCACCCCTGGGAAGGGCTGGCTATCCCCAGAGCATGCTTGCAGGCCTCCCAGATTCCCGTGCTGGGTGTCTCCTCTGACGTGTCCCCTGCAGTGGCAGGAAAACAGGCCGAGTCCCGGGCTGGGGAGAGCACCAACCCCGGCCTGTGTTCCAGGGCTGCCCTCAGGCTCCATCTTCATGCAAACGTATAAATTTAATAAATGTGTTTTCTCTTAATTCTACCTTAATAAAAACTCCTAAATACACACCATAAGGCACATGACTCAAATTGTGTTCACATTTTAAACTAGAAAATGAAAATAAAAACAAAAATAGTTAATGCGATTAGTCTCTCTTACAGGAAGGTTCCAAGAATCATGCTGTTTATCTTCAATTTAAAAAACACTTAGAAATATAATTGTGTGAATACTAGTCTGTTTCCGCCATGTGGCTCTCCCTTTAATGATTGGTTTTCAGAATCTCATCCTACTATTTGATTTTCTTAAATCCATGGATTAGCCTTACCTTGGCTAGTGTGGCATAAGCTAGGCCGAGTATTCCATTCCATTTAATCCCAGGCAAAAAGAAATTCTCTGATTCAAAAATAGTGGCAATATTGACAAGGAAAGAACTATTGAAGCCTTTGGGGATGGTGACTAGGTCCTCCCCAACAAAGCCCGTCCAGCTGCCCTGCGTGTACTTCACAGTGACGTCAAAGCCTTTGGAGCGGTATGTGCTGGACCTGGAGAAAGAAAGGAAAGGCCCATTGTATTATCTTATGTGTCCATGTTCCCTGAACCACGAAGATAAGGCTGCCATGTTCGAGGCAGCTGTCCTAACCACAGAAAGTCCAGCGTAAGCCTGTAAGCCATTCTTCATGATTAACAGCATCGATGTTGACAAAGTGATAGTTTCCACCAAAAACATAATCACTAATGTTTTAGTAACTGTTTTCCATGCCACGGGAAGGGAAGCACTGTTGTAAACACGTGGCTCTTGAGTGTAATTCTCCCCTATACCCAAGTCAATCCCTGTAAGTCAGGTACTTGGCTTAACCACTGTAGCCTCTGAAGGACACTGCCCAATCTGGGCACCTGCCTGGTCCTCCTGGTCCTCGGCTTTGCAGAGCTGCTGGGCTGCTGCTCAGTGACACCGACAGGTGCCAGCACCCCAGAAGGAGTCTCCACCAGGCTGGGCCAGCAGCGGCTGGGGTTCAGGTTCACACATACAACTCCTGTGACAAATAATGACCAAGCCCTACTCGCTGAAGCCCAGGTCCTTGATGTCACAGGTCCTTCTCAAGGTTCTCCCCCAATGCCCCGAAGCTGATTATACTCACACCAAAATATGGGCAGTGACGCCAATGGCATGCCACAACATGAATCACTGTGATGTGACCCAGAGCCTGACACTCACGTGGCCCTGAAGGTAAGAGCTACTGACGCAGGACGACATTCACAAGATCGAGGAAAATTCTGCCCCCTCAGTTTATGCTGCAGTGAGGAGAGAGAATGCATGCGGGAATAGTGGTTGCAGGGAACAAAGCAGATAAGAGGACCGCAAGTGACCTGCGGCTGAGAGAACTCTTGGCTCTGACCATGTCTGCATGAGACCTGAACGCAGGCAGCGAGACATGGGGCTCTCTGGAGGCAGAGCATCGTGTAGAGAGGAGAGCAGGCATCAAGGCCCTGGGGTGTCCCACTCTGCAAGGTCATTCCTACGTCCATTTAAGTTTGAAAACTGCTGGAATATAGAAGGGAACCTAAGAAACGTCTCTAGGGAAATGTGTGGGAACTCAAACCACGCTCCTCCTAAGAAAATGATCATGATCCTAAGCTAAACACCAAGCCACCCAGTAGATCATGCTAAGGTGTTCCTACTTGCCTACAGGCTTCATTCCACTCTGTTTTAATAGTAAGTCTGCAAACATTAACACGTTAATGTCTTTGTTGTGGGATCACATGAACTAGTGCAGCCTTGCTTAAGGTCAGTAAAGAAGTTAAGCTCAGAGATGACATGATCATTTATTTATTTATTCATTTATTTATTATTTCTTTTAGAGATAGGGTCTTGCTCTGTCATCCAGACTGGAGTACAGTGGCACAATCATGGCTCACTGTAGCCTTGAACTCCTGGGTTCAGGAGATTCTCTCACCTCTGCCTACTAAGTAGCTGGGACTATAGGTGCACACCATCAAGCCCAGTTAATAGTTTTCTTCTTTTTTCCTTTTCTTTTCTTTTTTTTTTTTTTGGAGAGACAGGGTCTCATTATATTGCCCAAGCTAGTCTCCACCTGTTAGGCTAAAGTGATTCTCCTGCTTTAGCCTCCCAAAGTGCTGGAATTACAGGAATAAGCCACCATATCCGGCCTTTTATTCATTAATTCATTCTTGGTATATCTCATAAGCGTTAAAAATGTTAACTATCTTTCATTCAGTAACTGCACTTCTGAGAATCTGACCCTAAGGAGATACCCGGGAAGCAGACAGAGGTTCATCTGCCAAGAGAGTTATGATTTTTTTTAATTGTACTTTAGGTTCTGGGGTACATGTGCAGATCATACTATGTTGAATAGCTTAAAAATCCTGAATTATTCAATCCATCTGGACAATTTGGGTTCACTCCTTAAGTTCAGAAATATACTGAGGCTAATTATCTTGAAATGCTTAGAAAATAAAGTCTAGTACAGAGGCTGGCAAGTTTTTTCTGTAAAGAAAAAAATAATAGATGTTTTAAGGACTATAGCTATGCATCATCAAGCCTAGCTAATATTTTTCTTTCTTTCTTTCTGTCTCTTTTTTTTTTTTTTTTAAACATAGGATCTCTGTTATAACTACTCAGATCTCAACTGTAACGTGGAAGCAGCCACCGACTGTAAATAAACTTGTGTGGCTGTGTTCTGGTAAAACTTTATTGACAGCAACAGGCATTGGCTCATGGGCTAGCGTTTGCCAACTCCTGGTGTATTAGTCCGTTTTCACACTGCTGATAAAGGCATACCCAAGACTCGGTAATTTATAAAGAAAATTAAGTTTAATGGGCTCACAGTTCCACGTGGCTGGGGAGGCCTTACAATCATGGTAGAAGGTGAAAGTCATGTCTTACATGGTGGCAGGGAAGACAGAAATGAGAGCCAAGTGAAAGGGGTTTCCTCTTATAAAACCATCAGATCTCATGAAACATTCACTGCCACAAGAACGGCATGGGGAAAACTACCCCCTTGATTCAATTATCTCCTACTGGGTCCCTCCCACAATATGTGGGAATTATGGGAGCTACAATTCAAGATGAGATTTGGGTGGGGACACAGCCAAACTGTACCACCTGGTCTGGGAGAGTAATTGCTTTGTTGTTGTTGTTGTTGAGACAGAGTCTTGCTCTGTCACTTAGGCTGGAGTGCGATGGTGTAATCTCAGCTCACTGCAACCTCCGGCTCCTGGGTTCAAGCGATTCTCCTGCCTCAGCCTCCCTAATAGCTGGGATTACAGACGTATGCCACCATGCCCAGCTAATTTTTGTATTTTTAGTAGAGACTGGGTTTTACCATGTTGGCCAGGCTGGTCTTGAACTCCTGACCTCACATGATCTGCCTGCTTCAGCCTCCCAAAGTGGTGGGATTACAGGCATGCACCACCCTGCCCGGCTCTGGTAGAGTCATTTATATCTTTCCCCAACAGTCTAAAGTGCTATGACTTTCTTTTGAAAGTTTAGTGTTACTCTGTCCAGGCTATACAAAACTCCATGGAATTTGTTCTGTTAGCAAGAACCTGAAACAACCTGCATATCTATTTAGCATGTCTTCTCTAGCTTCCTACCCAGGTTGCTGGTTCCTCACAAAGGGAGCACTCTGGATATTTTGGTGTCATTTCCAGAGAGACAAGAGGCAGCTGGAGTTATACTGACTGGGTTCAAATATGAGTTCAGTCCTTCATTAGCTGTGTGACCCAGGGCCAAGTTATTTACTCTCTCTATGCCTCAGTTTTCTCAACTAAAAAATGATAATATAATGTCATCCCTCGGGAAGTTAGTTATGCAGATTAAAAGAGTTAATACTCTAACACATGTAGAACAAAACCTTGGAACACAGCAGACATGCACAAAATAGCTGCTATTGTAATTATCTCATCGCTTACTACCTTTTTAAAGCCTATGAGTTATTATTAGAAAATTCAAGTCTGTTAGGCCATGTTTCCATTGCTATAAAGGAATACCCAAGACTGAATAATCCATCAAGAAAAGAGGTATGATTTTGGCTCATGGTTCTGCAGGCTGTGCAAGAAGCATGGTGCTGGCATCTGCTTCTGTTGAGGCCTCAGGAAGCTCCCACTCAAGGTGGGAGGTGAAGGGATACACAGTACATTACATGGAGAGAGCTGGGACAAGGGAGCACGGAGGAGGTGCCTAGCTCCTTTAAACAACCAGCTCTCATGTGAACTAACAGAGCAAGAAGTCACTCATTGCCTTGGCGAGGGCAACAAGCCATTCATGATCTAAACACCTCCCCCAAGGCCCCATGGTCAACACTGGGAATCACATTTCAACATGAGATTTGGAGAGGACACACATCCAAAGCATATCATCAGGATGTATTCTTTTTTTCTGGAAAATGCTCCTATAGAGCTATTTTTACTCAATTGCTCTGCACAATAATTAAATACATGGAGTGAGAACCCTGGATGGGCTTCTACTTGGCAATGTCCATTCCAGGCGCTCAGAAACCACAATCAATCAGGGACGTGGGTAGCCAGGAAAAAGCCCATTCACAGTAATAAAAATACCTTGAACCAAATTCAGAAGATGTTCTGCCTCTGATAGAAGTGCTCAGGGAATGCAGGACTAAAAAGTGAAATCAATTGCACTGAGGGAAAAAGAGCCGCAGAACATTTTATTATTTCAAAAGAATTCTGTTATTTGCAGAGAACATGAAAAGAGAAGGTGGATGTGCAGAATTCTAGAGTTCAATCCTTGGGTCAGGTCTGGTTCTCCTAAGCCACTTGACCCAGGGAATGCTGAGTCTCCTAAAGAACTCTGCTCAGGATTTCCCTGGGGCTCTCAGGGTCTGGAATCAACCAGTGGGGCTTATCGTCCTGGCTCAGGTGACCAGATGTGACCCTGGAAGTCACCAGACTTGAATGCATGAGACCCCTGAGGCTCAGGATAAGCTCAGCCTGCCCAACCTGGTGATTCATCAACGTCCTCAATAATGTTAAATGCTCACAGGCTTCAAAATGGCAAATCTTCTTCTAGCAGGCAAATGATAGGTAGGCTTGAGAAATGATCTCAATAATCAGGCAAAAAAATCTTTCCTCATTGAATGCAAAGCCATTTGACCTGTATTCAGTTTAGCCTCCTTAAAAAAAGCTGCCAGGTAATTCTTTAATTCCCTAATTCCACTTACAAGCATTAGTTGAGGAAGATAAATTGGATTTCTTGCTCTGTGAGTTTCACCCCAGATACAATACAGGAGTGAGGAGATATTTTAATGGAAATATGCTTAATTTTCTGAATAGATTCATGGAGGGTCAAGGGATGGGTGTACTGGATCTCTCATCAGGCCAAATGGCAGGAGGTGAGATTTTATTGGCTAAAAAAGATGTACATTTAAAAAATGCATGATTTTTTCTTTTCTGTCCCCCCCTTTTTTTTTTCTTGCTCTATAGTAACTCACTGGAACATTCACCACCATGAAAAGATGGATTCTGATCAAGATGAGCTCACAAATGACTAATGGTAGCCTGACATCTCATTCCATAAATCAAAGAGATCTTGTCAAAGAACCCCACGCCAAATCTCCAATTACTGTAACATGTTTCAGGAAGCATTAGACCTGAATATCCAAAGACTGAGGACGTGAATCAGAGGCGGACAAACCCAACCAGAACCTTATTATAACTAGGAGAGATCAGAAGCACAAGCAAATACAGACACATCACAGGGCAGAGTGCTGCAGCTCAGAAAAGAAACCTTTGTCAAAAACGGAGAAGGCAAAAGGATGGTCTCTTGGTTCCCATGAAATACAATGGTTGAAAGTATAACTTAGGCCAACTCTAAAGTTAGATGGAAGCATTAGACAAATTAACTAAACATAATTGACATTGAAAGAAAATATTCATATCTTTCCACAAAAAAGCATATCAAAAATACTAAAGCATGTAACAAGCAGATACAAGGAAACAAGATTAGTGTAAATTTAAGAAAGTATTTAACTTGTAAAGCTAGCATGGTAGCAGGGACGCAGCCAAAGGAATAGAACTTGCTTCAAACTCAGAAGTGGGATGTACCACATCTGATTCAGCCAAAAGGAAACCGTGCAGCTCTGTGGAAGAAAGTCTCTTGAAAAGAAAGGCAGTACCAGGTTAGGCTCCCAAAAGGTGAGTGATGTGTTGTATGTAATAAGTCAGCCACTGCAGTACTTGCAAATAAGGAAGTAGGCCGAATTTGAATGGCGGAAGTGGCAACAGGGTGAAACGGACCATTGAGGGGCTTTCCCTAGACATCGCCGTGTTCTGTTACTTATCTTTTTATTTACCCACAAAAGGAGAAACAGATCAGGACCTTGAGTGGTCAGAATGGTGGCAAGGAATCCTGAATTATCTTGTGAGATTAGCAGGAGGGAAGGCTTCATCATCAAAGGAGTTCTGGATGATCCCAGGAGTTTTCATGTGAATCAAATGCATATGGACTAGAGAAGCCCAAAGTATGGAAAACAGGAACCATCTCCACTAATACGAACCTGGTGATGGGCACAAAATCCGCTTGAATAAACCAAACAGGGCTAGCAGGTGAGTGAGAGAGATGTGCCCCACGGTGTTCCGAAAAGAGAACCACAGCTCAACCAAACACTGAACACAGTTGAAGGCAGCTGAGAAAAATGCTGGGTTGTTTACAGTTGATGAAATATTACACATAGTCTTGATAATGCGGGCTATTATTTACCCTTGAATGTTTCCACAACTGCATCTGCATAGCAAAAGGATGTGTGGATTGAGAAGCTTACTTTGACCTTCATGGACTCTGGCTATGGGTGGCTGCAACAGAACTGCCACTCACCTGCCAGGAAAAAAGCGGCCATCCACAGGGCTTGACTGGCATGGTTCACTTTAAACCTGGAAAGTAACGATCCACATCACCCAGCTGGATTTTACTGTGCTTTACTGTTTCTAGTGTATCTTGCATCTACAGATATGAGAGAAAAACCTATTCCAAGGGGAAAAGAGCTGCTAACTGAAAAATGCAACCTCCACGTGTGTTTGTTCTGTCCCCATGCGCTGAGCCCCGGTGCTGGGAAATGTGGGAAAGGTACAATACAGACTAGAGCTCTGCAGGGAAAACAACACAGGGCTGGGACCATCGAGGGCCTTCAAATAAGCGGTTATTTTTCAGTAGCGAAGGCCCCGTCCCCTAGGGGAAGTTTTGGAAACTCTAGGAGTGTGTCTGATACGCGTGCTGGTTATCCCGGAGTGTGAAGGGTGGTCGTGCAAAATGAAGATTTGCTCCCATCCCACATCACTTTCCAAAGTCGCTCTGGGCATTGGCATGGGTAAAATCTACTGGATCAGCAGCACAGAATGCACCTTCTTCCATTCACATGTGCACAAAACCTTTTCTACAAAGGTTTAGTATACATCGTGTATTTGCTGCTGTGAAAGTCCAGGGAAGCTGATTGTTTTTTTGTTTGTTTTTCTTGGAACTTTCCTAAGATTCTTTTCCATTTTGGAAAATCACATCAGCCACTGATATAGTTTGGATATCTGTCCCCTCCACTTCTCATGTTGAAATCTGATCCCCAGTATAGGAAGTGGGGCCTGGTGGAAAATGGCCGGGTGGGGGGGTCAGATCTCTCAAGAATGGCTTGGTGCCTTGCCGATGGTGATGACTGAGGTCTCGCTCTGTTAGTCCCAGGGAGGGCTGATGATTGTTAAAAAAGAGCCTGGCACCTCCTTCCCCTACGTTTGCTTCCTCTCTCCCATGTGATCTCTGCACACTGGCTCTGCATCCCCTTCCGCCATGACTGGAAGCAGCCTGAGGTCCTGGCGCCATGCTACAGGCTTAAGGTACAGACTGCAGAACCTTGAGCCAAATGAACCTATTTTCTTTATAAATTACCCAGCCTTGAGTATTCTTTCATAGCTGTACAACAGACTAAGACAGCAAACTGAGCTGCTCGGGGTGTGTGAGTTTACGTCAGCCTGCCTGGATCAGTCTACACTGGGCGTGACGGCGATGTCAACTCACCTCCAGCATGCCCCCACTGCACGGTCTCCTCCTCGCACCGTGGAGCCAGGGTGTTCATGTACTGAAGTGCTGATTACCCGGTTATGCATTACTTCCCTTCTATTCCCCTCATATACCATCAGGGCATTTGGAGCTATGTATGTAGATAAGTCATATGACCTTTGCAGTCACTTCAGGGAACGACAAAGCACTTGTTATAAGAAGCAGGTGTTGGCTGAAGGTTTGGGAGCTGCTGGTCTCAAAGCTTAAACTTGGGCAAGCCCCTGTCTCCCTGACCTCCTGTGCTGCAGGAATAAAAATGAGAGGTTTGGACCAACTCAAAGTCCAGTTCCATCATGAAGCGGTTCAGAGTGGATGGTTGGAGGTGAGGGCTGTTTGGGGACTGAGGACTTGGATGAACCACAGATCTGAGTGGGAAGAGGCTGCATTAGCCATCGTAAACCAAGCCTCTGCTGCACACACAGAGAAACACCACCACTACTTCTACACATGTTTGTGGTTATAGCAACAGCTGGGCACATAGTGATCATACAGTGACCAGGTGTTGTACCCGGGAATATCAATGAAGAAAGCTTACCAGTACAGGAAGTCATAAACCAAGCTATAGGTTCCTGGAGGGAGGGGCCAGTCGTATTTTTCTGAAGCTTCATATAGAGCTGGCCACCACAGCCCTCTCCCCAGTAGGCAGCTGCAGCCATACGTGCAGGAGGCCACGTCATTTATGGCACCAAAGCAGAGCCCAGGATGTGGCAGAGGCAGAACAGATATGCAGGGTTTCCTCTATGCTTTCTTTCCTACACGGCAAGTCACCTTGCTTTAACAAATTGCCTGGCATTTTCAGAAGACTCCAGCTATTCTTTCCCTCTCCTTTTGTCCCCAACTAAAGCTGTCCTTTATTCCCTGGAACAAAACACTGAGGATAAGGAAAGTGAGAAAGGGAAGTCAGGAAAAGAATTTACATTAGGGAAACCCAATGTGGCAGTTCTGAGCCTGGAGACGGTTTGTGACACCGGCACGTCAGCTGCCCTGTGCTGTCTGCTGAGTTTAGGCTTCAGGATTGCAAAAATAGTTGTGATGTCAAAATGTACATGGTGTCAGAGCATCTTCCAGTTCACAGAAGGGCTGACTCTAGACCCCACGGGCTCCTGCAGAGCTGAAGGCTGCCGCAGGCCACCGGGGGCCTCCCACAACCCCAGCCAGGGCTGCTCTGAAGCCTGCATGGGCAGGGCTTGTTCTATTCCAGAGACCTCCATCTGGCTCCACTTGTTTTTTCTGAACTCCACCCCATTGCTCATGTGCAGTCCCAGTCTTGGGCCTTAATACTTTGTACTCACAAAACTCACTCTTCCAAATGAGTGTTGCGAGCCAACCCACAGAAATGGTTTCCATGAACCACAGTTTAAGCCCTGCTGAAGTATGCGAAGGTGGGTTTCCATGTGTCCCTTCAGCTGTGGAAGCAGCCCCACGCCCTTGCCCAGAGTGGCCGCACCGATCCCCAAGACCTCCTCCTGCTCCAGGCCACCTCCACTGCGGAACCAAAGCTGCTGCAACAAACACCGACGGGCCACACCTCCCTGCAACGGGATAGCTCTAGAAGTTGTGTCTGACTTGGATTTCTCTAAAATGAATCTCATGTAAGTGCATGAAAGCTATTAGGAGACTCCTGCTGTGGATTTGTGGATGGAATGAACATGCATGTATGCACACACACAGTCACATGTGTGTACACACACATGTACATATGCATACATATCGGCATCCCCTTAAAATGAAACAGCTTTCTGGCTGTTGCGGTCTGCCGCGTTTTGAAGCATGCCGATCATGCAGTGCCCCGGCCCAGCACACCAGCCAAGGGGTCAGCACTTACCTCTCTGTGTCAAAGTACGTTTCTATGTAGGAGTGTGGGGCTCCCGCCACGGCAAAGTTGCTGCTTCCAGTGTCAACGAGAATCTGTAGCTTTTATGTTTTAAGGAGAGAAAAAGAAAAATTGAAAGCATCAGGTTATTTTAATAAGACAATGTTCTTGAATAATTTTTTTAAAACTGAGTACCAAGAATAATGCAGCAGTTGGAAAAAAAAAAAAAGTACACTGATCAGGGGAATACAAAAAGCAATGATAAAATTGAAATCTGAACAAGGTCCATGAAGAAGTTTGCGGGGTGAGGGGGAGGTGCTGGGAATGGTGCTATCTCAGATACACACTGAGCCTTAAAAGAGAATGGATTCTGGTGGCCATACCACTGAATGCGCCTGATCTCGTCTGTTCTCGAGAATGGATACTGTTAAATAGCCGGGTTGCCTTTTCAGGCCATCGGTGCTTGAAACCAAGGCTGAGCTCTTTCTCATCTCTGGGCTTTTAGCCAGGTTTAGCCCTTCGCTGGGCTCAGCCTCCTCTTGCTTTTCCAAATCTGGCCTGGAAACCCTGATCCAGCGTGGCCTCCCCTCCCCAGGAAGCCTCCCAGTCTCCTGGCAGGTGGTGCCCCCTTACCTCCCTGCACAGCACCTGGGAACACCTGCCATCACCATCATTTTTTAGGCTATTCGAGATATAATTTGCGTATAATAAAAATGCAAGACCTTAAACGTTCGCCTGGTGAGTTTTGGCACGGTATGTCCCACACCAAGATACAGAAACCTCTCTTCACCTCAAAAGGTCCCTCTATGCCGCTTTCCCTGCTGGTCCCCAGAAGCAGCCCCTTTCTGGCTTTTGTGACCACGGACTGGTTTCATCAGTTCTCGAACATTCTATAAACATAACGATGTGGGTTTTTGTGAGTTTGTTTTTCTGGCATGGCTTCTGATGTGCAGTTCGTCTTTGAGACGCCCTCATGTTGCTGCCCTTTGTTTCCCATCACTGTGGGAAAATACTCTTCTGCAGGAACACACCGTGATTTGCCTCTGCTTCTTCTGATGGGCCCTTGGGTTGTGTCCAGTTTAAGGCTACTATGAATAAGACAGCTATGGACATACTGCATAGGTCTTTCTGCAGGCGTATATTTTCATTTCTCTTGAGTAAATACCTAAAAGTGAAACGTTCTGGATCACAGGCTAGATACATTTTTAACTTTTTAAAGAAACCTGCTGAACAGGTCTGCAATGTGGATCCACCAAGTTATATTCCCGTGAGCAATGGATCCATGGGCCACTTGGTTTATTTGCTCCATATCTTGCCCCAGATTTGGTGTTGCTGGTCTTTTTAATGTGAACCATGATAACGGGTGTGGAATGGTATCTCACTGTGGTTTTAATCTGCAGTCCCCTAGGGAACCAACGTCACTGGGCTGTTGCCCTGTATCCCATTATTTCACCTTCCCCAGTAAACGCCGTCTCAGGGCAGGTGTGTATGTCACTCATTTTATGTCTAGCATTTATCCCAAGTCCAGACATGTGCCCAGTTGTTTATAGAATAAACATATCTTTTAGAAATAAAAACAGACCACTTAGATATAGCCCAAAAGGTTGAAAATCGAGTTTAAAAACCTATACTCTAAAGAAATCAAAACAGGCAAGTGTTTGCCTAGGATTATCTTATCAACAGTCATGCTGTTGCTTCTGCCAAGGACCTAAGGTTTGCTGGGTCCAGCGTTTGCCTCTGAGCTGACCCATCAGTAGGATCTGACTCAGTCTTGCTCCCTCCTCCTGGAAACGTTCTTCGCTTTGGATCCTGGGGCCACATGCATTCCTGATTTCCTCCTTCTCTGACGCTTCACTTTAGTCTCACTGCTGGGTGCTTCTCATCTCCCTGACCTGCTGACGTTTCCGGGCGATCAGCTCAGGAATCACTTCTGGGATCCATCTACACTCACACCGTCGGTGTTCCCACTGAGTCTCTAGGCTTTGAGCACCTTCTGCATGCTGACGACCCCCAAGTTTACATCTTAGCCCAGGCCTGCCCATGTACCCTGGGCTCTACCTATCCAACACCTACCCCTGGCTGGCTAGTAGTCATCTTTTATGGGTTGAGATGTGTTTTCCAAAAAGAGATGCTGAAGTCTTAACCCCTGCACCTGTGTGCCCTTATTTGGAAAAAAAGGTTTTTACAGTCAATCAAGTGAATATAAGACCTGCAGGCTGAGCTCTAATCGAGTATCACAGGCATCCTTCGGGGCAGAGGAAAAGGCGTGGAAATCAGAAACACAGTGGGGTGCCAAGTGGCTGCAGAGACAGGGATCAGAGTGATGGAGCCACAAGAATGCCAAGGACTGATGACCATGGCCAGGGGCTGGAAGGGGAAGGGATGGCTCCACCTGGAATCTCAGAGGATGCACAGCCCCTCCAACACCTTCGTTTCAGACTTCCTGCCTCTAGAACTGTGAGAGAATACATTCCTGGGTTTTGTTTTGAGACAGTGTCTCACTCTGTCGCCCAGGCTGGAGTGCGCTGGCACAATCACAGCTCACTGCAGCCTCAAACTCCTGCGCTCCAGAGATCCTCCCACCTCAACCAAGCAGCTGGGACCACAGGCTTGCACCACCACGCCTGGCTAATTTATTTTTATTTTAGTAGAGATGGGTCTACTGTGGTGCCCAGGCTAGTCTTGAACTCCTGGGCTCAAGCGATCCTCTCTCCTTGGCCTCCCAAAGTGCTGGGATTACAGGCGTCAGCCACTGCACCCGGCCCATTCCTGCTGTTTTGAGCCCTCCGTTTGTGGTACTCGGTTACAGCAGGTCCAGGAAACGTCTTGAGGTGGGACATCATCTCAGGCCTGGAATGTCCTGAACTGAACTCCGGCTGCACCCAGCCCTGCTCTCCCGATGGACTTGGCCATCCCAGTCCATGGCAGCTCCATCAGGTCAGACCAGGCCACGCTGGAGGTGATCCTTAAGGCTTCATTCCCCTCATGCCCCACATCCAGCCACCAGGAGTCCCAAGGCCTCTGCCTTCAGGTTCTGGTCCACACCTACCCACGCCTCACCTCCTCCATGGAGACTGGCGGGGGAGGTCCACACCACTGTCTTCCCTCCTTGTCCTCACTGATGTCCCTGCTTCCTTCCTCCAACTACTTCCAGCCAGCAGCCACCACAGTCCTGTGACAGTTAAGTCAGAGGGAGTCAACCCTCCACCTCCCACAGCTCTCATGTCACCCAGAGTAACAGAAAAAGTCCTCAAAATGCCTGCTGAGTCATTTGCCATGCCCTGAACTCGCTCCTCTCAGCCACGCCGACTGCCAGGACACTCCGTGAATGCCCTAGATATGCCCTGGAGGCAGGGCCTCTCCCCGGCCACCTTGCTGGGGTGGGGGCTCCTCCCCAGGATACCCAGATCCACGTGGCATGATTCTTCGTTCCTTCAAGGCTTCGTTCAACGCCACCTTCTCCACGAAGCTGACCTAGGCCAGCCCTGTGGGAGAACTGCCGCTCTGCTGGCCTGTGCATCCCCTTCCCTTGCCTCCATAACACCACACCTCTCAGCACCGCGGTGGGCTGGACACTGCTGTAAGCACTTCCCATATCCATTAGCTTATTTTAACCTCACAACAGCGCCCCAAGGGCTGCACAGTCACCACTTCATGTCACAGAGGGAGAAACTGAGATGCAGAGGGGCTGACCTGCCCAACTACACAAGGGTAAGTGGCAGAGCTGAGGCTGGAACCCAAAGCCAGGCTTGAGCGCATTCTTGCCACCGGCCCAGCCAGTCTGGGCCCGGTGCAGGATCATCATCCTTGGGGTCCCGACAGCTCCTGCTGCCTCCACCCCACCAGATGAAGGCTCCCTCCAGGAGGGATTTTTGCTGTTTGCTGCTCTGTCCACCACACATACCTAGAACAGGGCCAGGCACACAGTAGGCACTCACACATGTGTTGCAATAAACAACAAATCTAAATCAAAGACACTCATTTTGCTCTTGGTACAAAGATAACAGATTCAAAAAAAAAAAAAAAAAAAAAAAAAAAAAAAAAATTACAATAAAAAAAAAAAAAAAAAAAAAAAAAAAAAAAAAAAACAAAAAAACAAAACAGCGGGAATAATGCAGTCTGTGCACATAAACCTGGCATGTGTAGGTTCTACACACACAGTTTTCAAGCTGTTGGCAAAAACAAAGTCAGGTTCTCACTCCCCTAATCTGCTCGGTGCCATGTTCCTTCCCCCACAGGAGGCCGTGGAAATAGTAGAGAGAAATGAACGACTGAGCGACGTCCTGGGCATCTGCCAGGTGCGGTGTTACAACATGTGACGTCCCTGTTTCCTCAAAAGAAAATCTACTTTGTGACTTTAGATAATTCCTTCCTACGACTGACGATCACGTTTACAAAAACTGTGTAGGAATGGTAGAGAGACAGATTTGGGACAAAGGTTTGAAGTGAATCTAAAACAATGGCAAAGGCACTCTACTTTTTTTTTTAACATACTTTTTTGAGATGGGGGTCTCACTATGTTGCCCAGACTGGTCTTGAACTCCTGACCTCAAGTGATCCACCCACCTCGGCCTCCCAAAGTACTGGGATTGCAGGCATGAGCCACCACACCTAGCCAGCAAAGGCACTCTAAATAGAGACTATAAATGCCACTTTAAACATCTTAGTTTTAGTAAATGAATTTTCTATTCTTAATTTCTATTTACAAATACACAGCTCCTAGAAAATGCGTAAGATCTTGCTCCTTTACAGAGGTGTTTGGGTTGATTTCAGATAGAATATAATCTCACATATATATAAATATATTTCCATATGTATGATATATAATAATTTATTATCTGGTTCTTCATCCACATATTAGATGCTCAACAGCCCCAAGTTTCAAAGCCATGATTTGGATTAGATTTAATCCTAACTTCTCATAAACGTACAAAGGGGCATGAAAGATTGTGAAATACATATTTGGTTTCATCCTCATTTCCTGGCATACAACTACTAAAATCTCTGGAATCTCCACAGTGATGTGCTTTTGTTTGCTGTGAGTTGACTGATGGCTGGCAGCCCCCAGGTAGCTTTGGGATGGGGGCTGGTCACCAGAAAG